GAAAAAGACAAAAAAAAAAAAAAATTATTTTTCTTATCCTTTCTCAGAATCCACCACTCATTGTAGCCATCCTGTATACAGAAAGTGTAAAATAAAACATGAGAGAACCCATTGCCTCCTGGCCTTTTGCAGCACATCAGCCAGAGTGTTCTATTAAACATAGGTCAGATTGTGTCTCTCCCCTCTGCTCAATACCTTCCGGTGATTTTCCATCTTAGATTAAAAGCCAAAGTCTATAAAGGTCTGCAAGGCACTACATGGGCTGGCATGCATGTCCTCTTTGACCTCATCTCCTACTTCTCCTCTCATCTCAATCCTTTCTGTTGGTCTCCTTGCAGTTTCTGGAACTTGTCAAGTATACTCCCACCTTCAGGCATTTGTACTTGCTGTTCTGTCCCTAAATGTTTCCTTTTTGTCCTTTTACTGACTGGTAACGGGATCGCAACCCTAGGTGTCGCGCCCGTACCGGGGACCGGCAATGGGATCGCACCCCTCGGTGTTGCGCCCGCACCGCGCTCAGCCAGTGAGCGGGAACCGGTCTCCACATGGGATCCGAACCCTCAGCGGGAGCGCCACTGCGCTCCCAAGTGGCGCACTCTCCAGTGTGCCACCAGGCCGGCCCCCTAACTGTTTTTCTATATGTTTTACTTACTTATGTATCATGTCCCCTAACTTGAATGTGTGCCTCATGAGGGCAGGGCTTTCTGTTTGGTTCATTGCTGTATCCCCAGTTCCTAGAATAGTGCCTGGCACATGTAAGTACTCACAAATATTGTTGAAAGAAGTGATATATTGGTAAGTATGCAGAATGCCATGGATTCATTACTTCAACCTAAATGTATTTTATTAACACTCCAACGCAGGGCATGACACTGAAATTAGTAAGCACTGTTTTGCATTTATCAACCTATTTTACTTTGTAAAATAATAATGTCTTAGAGTGGGATGTAATGTAGAGATCTTGTCTAACTTTCCTGTGTTTGCTTTTCACACTGAGGTAGGAGTAGCCCAGGAGTGTGCAGCAGTATGCCCTAATTCTGGAACTGGTTTGTCAAGGATCTAGCTGTGTCTTTGGACAATTTACTTACCCTCCCTATGCCTCAGTTTTCTCATCTATGAGGTGTAAATAATAAGAGTACCTACATACCTCATAGGACTTTTAGGATGAAAAAGTGAGTTAATGTTTGTCAAGTGCTTGGAACAATGCCTGGCACATAGTAAATAGTAAATGAATTTTAGCTGTCAAAGTAACATGAAAGCAGGGACTTACACAGATATGAAACAGATTACAAAAATCACTCTTTAAAAAGAGAAATAATGAGATTTCCAAGAAATTTTGCACTTTCTTTGGGCCATTGAATTCAGGCAACAGATGAATAACTTGAGCAAGTGAGAGGCAGTGGCTTTACAGAAGAAACCAAAGGTCAGCTATAATTCAGCTTAGACATCCCTGTGACTGTGGGCCAGTGCTTTTTTATTACTAATTAGCCAGAAATTCTGATGTTGGGCAGCTCACCACCTAACAAAAGAGTTGACTCTTGTTGGGCAGAACCCATTGTTAGAAAATCCTTTGTTCTGCTGATGTGAAATCTGCCTCTTTTGTTACTTTATATTGGTCCTGGTTCTTTTCTTTGGAGTAATATAGAGTAGGTCAGTTGGTTGTGTTGCTTCATTAACATTTTCTTCTTTATCTTAAATTTCTCTAGTTTCCTTGGTCCTCCTCCAAATGACATGGTTTTTGAATCCCTTATCAACCCTAGTCATCCTTCCCTGGGTGTAATTAATTTGTCAGTATTCCTCTTAAAATAGAGACCGAGAGCTAGTAACTGACCGTGTTTCACTTAATCTGCCAACGTGAGAGGCTGCACATTAAAATGCAGAAACCATTATTTGCATTTTGGGCCAAGCTGTGTCATTAATTGACTCTTTACTATTTGATTAGTTACTTTGAGACTTATTTTCCTCAAAAAGAATGATTAGCCAATACTAATAAAAGATCACTAACAAAGCTTTTTTGATATGGGTAATTCAGGTATTAGCAAAAAGGAGATAAAATATTTTGCTTTCCTGAAAAAAAAAAAATCAGTCCTTATGCTAAATATCAACTTCTTGCTAATGTTGACCTTAGAATTCTTTCCCTAGATTTTCAAGTTAGTTGACTAAGATCATTTTAGTGACATTGCTGCTAATATTATGTACAGGTGGTAATATCTTGGATGAGGTTAGTTTTATTGCCTGAAAAGTAGCAGTTTCTTTTAGGTACTGTAGTTAACCCAGCTGGTTAACTGATACCACAGTTATTCATATTTGATAGCTCTATTCAAGTTTATTTAAGTGTTTATTATGAAGGATAATTGACACCCATTTTACTGATATCCTGATGTAACCAAATTAGTTACTTAATTTTAGTTTTCCTAAGTCTGTTTTTTTATAACCTTATCATTGTGATTTGAAAAAGTTCCTGGAATTGTCTGAGTACTCAATGTGTATTCAAGTCTCATCTCTACCACTGAGAAACTATGGATTCTTGGGCAAATCATTTAACTGGCTTGTACACACGTTTCCTCTTCTGTACAGTTGAGAGGCTTTTACTTCTTTGATTCTCCTCCTCCTGCTGCACCCCATCTTTGTTCCATACAGCAGCCAGAAGGGTCATCTAGAAATGTAAATCAGTTCATGTCGCTCCCAGGCACTTAGAATAAAATCCAAACTCACCTCTGTCCATCTCTGCAATCTTTTCTTTCCTTCTGCTCAATACCTTTTAGCCACACTGACTACTCAGTTTTTTTCAGGCACCTACAGTTAATAATTATGTGTGTATTTGCTTTGTTTGCTTATTACTTGTTTCCCCCACTAGACTAGACGCTTGATGAGGGCAGATAATGTATTTCCATTCACTGCTCTAAAAACTAATGCACAGTAAAATGTGTTACACATAGTAGGTGCTCAGATAGTCACTGTTCTTAAAATCTTATGATTCCTATTACTTTCAGATAGGTATGCAGTTTTTCCTTTCTCTTGGTGTAGTTAATCAAGTCGTCCTTTGCCACTTGGACATTCATATTAAAATAAAATTTTAGTTTTAATTTTAATTTAGTAAGTTTCAAGTGACAATACCATGTGAAGGCTTGTTAAGTCCCAGATATGTCAGTTTCTGTTGCATTCTTCAGTTGATTTATTTTTAGAATGGTCCTAAAATGATTAGAGTATTCCCAGTGATTTGTTTGACTGTGACTTTGTAGTCTGGCCTGTCTGTACTGTGAAATGTAATTCTGGCCTGAGCTTATTTTAAATTTGTTGATGTTATTATGTTTGTTGTCTTGGTATGTCATAAATTTACTCCTTTTAATAGTGTCAATATTGATAGGTCATCTGAAATGCAAGAATCCTAAGGAAAGCTTAGCTTCATACTACTGCCATACTGCCCAGAAACAATAAATTGTTCATTTTCTTTGAGCCAAGTCACCAGAATATTGTTTAGTCATTTTCCCAGTGGCTTAAAAGAACTAGAACATTTGCAAAAGGGAGCCATTTAGTTCCCTATCATCCCTTATGATTGAGCCTTTCATTTATCTCAGAAAAAGTGGGGTCAGAGAAATTCATCCTGTTTTATTATCTCTTTTCAGATTAAAGTTAGGAGATTGACTCACTTTGACCATTTTCCCCGTTCATTTCTACATTGGACAGTTACTGTGGGGCCGAAGCTCTGGGGAGGTGCTTGGCTCTGCCTGCTTAAGTAGTTCCAGTAGTTGAACTGTCTCTGGAAAATGAGTGGGTTTCATTTAAAGCTCTTCAAAGCTGAGTAAATCTTGGCAGAACCTAATAGAAACCATAGTATATAATTCTTTCTTAAAGCCACCATATTATTAAATTAAGAATTTGGGGTAAAGCATATTGCTTTAATGATCTTAATTACTATTCAGAAAGGTCCTTTACCATTGTCATTACGGTGACTTTATGATGTGGCCCAAGGACTTTACTAGGAAGAAACACTGAATCCTGAGGGTATACTTATAGTAACAGGGAAAAGGCTTTGTAAGATGCAGTTGCAGAGTCCCTCTTTCTCCATCTGCAGCCTCTTTTTTGGATGTTTTAGAGTGATCGTTCTGCCATACACAACCCGTTCTGAAGCTTCAAGCAGGTCAGCCAGGCATGAGGCCATCTGTTGTTGTGGAAGGGCATGGGTTTAGGGAGACAGGAGAACCTGAGTTAAAATATCTATCCTGGGCTGGCCCGGTGGCGCACTCGGTAGAGTGCCGCGCTTGGGAGCGTGGCAGCGCTCCCACCGAGGGTTCGTATCCCATATAGAGACCGGTCTGCTCACTGGTTGAGTGCGGTGCGGGCGCAACACCGAGGGTTGCGATCCCGTTGCTGGTCGCTGTACGGGCGCGACACCGAGGGTTGCGATCCCGTTACCGGTCACGAAAAAAGACAAAAAGGAAAAAAATATATATATATATCCTGACATTTACTGGTGATCTTAAGTTCCTTACCTTTCTGAGTCCTAGTTTCCTTATCTATAAAAAAAAGAAAAATAATATCTACCTTGTAGGGTTGTCGAATTAAATGAAATTATGTGAGATTATTATTATTATTGTTATGTGAGATTTTTTGCCACATAGTAGATTCTCATTAAATTAATTTTCTTTCCTCCTCTACATTAATATTCTAAATATATCTAGCAGTGGTGGAAATCATCTGTATTCACTAATTCATGAGTAGGCTTTCCCTATCTGTTAGGATCTAGCAACAATCATTTTAGTCTTACCTGTAACTGTCCCCCCCAAGAATGTAGATTTGGAGACGTTTATGATAAAGTTGACCACTTCATCTGTTTCTGATGAATTAAATAGGAGAGGATTACATTCAAGAAAATATCATCTTAAAATAATAAAAATTATTTAAAAAGGAATTACATTATAATATTTTGAAAGCTTAATGATGTTAATTAAAATTATCCTGTTATTGACCAGTACTTTTTTTTTAATGTCTGTCCTCAGGGAAGGAAAAATATGCAAGATGGTGCAAGTGATGGTGAAATTCCAAAATTTGATGGTGCTGGATATGATAAGGATCTGGTGGAAGCCCTTGAGAGAGACATTGTCTCCAGGAATCCTAGCATTCATTGGTTAGAGTCTTTTATTGAATTAAAGTAGAGGAGAAACAAGTTATGGGGTTGGGTTGGTGTGAGTCTTCTCTTGTTATCTGTTAATCTTCTGATAATGACTTCATCCATACCAGGAGCACATAGAATTGGCAGGACAGTTCTGTCAGAATGTAACCAAGGACAATTTGCATGTTGATTTGATGTTGACATAATTGACAAAGGTTATTAATTGAATAACATGTCCTAATTAATAAGTGCAATATGTTTTCACTTATGCAGTGTTAGAAAAATGTTCTTAATATAAGAATAAAAAAATTTTTTTTAAATTAGTTTTGACTGTAAATCAAAGGTGTTCCTGATTAAACATGAAACTTTGCTGTTCTTGCAAAGGGATGACATAGCAGATCTGGAAGAAGCAAAGAAGTTGCTAAGGGAAGCTGTAGTTCTTCCAATGTGGATGCCTGACTTTTTCAAAGGGATTAGAAGGCCATGGAAGGTGAGAATTTATTAAAACAGTTTCAACATAATGCTGCTTGCATTACTGTAGTTTATATGTTTAACACCATTTGTAAAGGTTGGGGGAGGTTTGTATATATGCAGAACCACCTGGATTTGAATTTGTAGTTGAGGTGTGCTACATCTGCATGGCAGGAGAGATGGGCTTGACATGTTTAAACTATAGTCTTTAAAGTCAGTACCCTTGGGGTGCTGAGCTAGAGATTTTAAGTGTTTGATCAAATAAATTCCTTTCTAAAAGTTGGCCTATTTCTCACTAATCATTAATTATGTTTGTCATTGTTTAATCTAGACTTGGTATAATTCTCAGACATAATCAGAATGTTCATTTCTCTTTAGCTTGTGCTCTGCCTTAGAGTTTAAAGCCCACCCAGGACTAGTTCCCCCTAAGCTTAGCATTTTCATTTCAGCATATTAAAAAACTGTCCCAAGCTGCCTGGAAGCTCCCAACTTGGTAGCTGCTTGGAACTTTTTTTTTTTTGTCTTAGCCATAGGCAGAGTCTTCCTTTACTTTGACTAGTAGAATGGAATGAAAACGTGATCTTACTTTGTTCTTCTCTGTTAGCTAGGAAGGTCCTTTTCTCTGCTCAGTACCTCCTTCTCTGTTCATGTGTCTAGAAGCAGAGAGGAGAAATTGTTTATTTACATAAATAGCTTGAAACACTCGTGGCATTTTGATTGCCTCCCACAACTTGAAAACAGCCTACATTTTTGTAGATTTACCTTATTTTAATAACATATTACCAAAAATTCCCTCTTTGCTATAACTTTTAAAACCATAAATGTTTTTAAAATGTGTTTGAAATCCATTAATCATATATATTATTATATACTTATGCCCTTTAAATGAAACATTTATTACAATGATTGATGTTGTAATTCAAAAGCATTCATTTGTTCTAATAAAGCTGTGAGTCATAAAGTAACACATAATAGGATAGGTGAAGAAAGAATCTAATTTTAACTGTGGTATTTATAAAACTAAAAATAAATGGTTGAATTAAATAGCTGATACCTTAGGTCCTTTTAGAAAATTTAAAATTCAGTGTTTCCCAGACTTAGTTTAGTTTCTTTTTTTTAGTATCAGTTTTATCACCAATCCAGATACTTGAATCACAGCAAAACAAATAAAGCATAAAACAAGCACAACTGCTTCGGACAGCTGAGTAGTAATGCCCATCCGTGGCTTCTGGTGTTTGTGAGGTCAGGCTTGATTCTTTCTGAATCTGCTGGTCTATCATTTGAAGTTTCCAGCTTCTTTTTGTATGTTATTCTCTACCTTTGCTTTAACCTGTGATAGGGTAACGTTTGAGTTATTTTTCTAAAGATTGCTTAATTATGCAAGAATATTACAGGATTTGCTATTCCATTTACCTGTAATTGTAGAGGTTGATAAAATTGAAGTAAAGAAAATGAATATTTTATTATTTCAAATCATCACACTGTAGCTTATTTTTGATAAAATTTGTTCCTTTTTAGCCTGCCCTGCTGTAGGAGACAGTGTATTCTGGAAGCCATTCCCAACTTTAAACATGAAAAAGTAAAAGTAAGATGTAGGGCAAATGGAGAGAAAGTAGTTTTGTAGTACTGGACCTAGACTTTGACATGAGACCCATCTTCACTGCTCTTAGGGGTAACTTCCCCAGTGAAGGGCTTGCAACAGAAATGTATGTGTGTGTCCTTCATGGAAGATGATGTTCCCAGTCAGGTGTCACAGCGGGCATGTGGGATGAGGGCGCAAAAGCTTCTTCTGAGCAGCCAAAGGTGATTGTAATTTGCAGCCAACATTTTTTGAACCTTCAAAAGTTCAATATACTTTGAGTTTTTATGGTTTTTTCTAAAAAGATCTTTAGCTGTTTTTTAAAAAAACTATTTCTTATTATTATGGTTACAAAAATATGATCTGACTTTATTTACTCCTTGCTGTGCTTTTGTAGTATTTATTGGCAAACTGGATTAACAAAAAAATGTAAAAATTTATTTGCAAAGAATTTTATTCCTGGGCTAATACATTTTTTTTTTTACCTCCATCAATAGAATAAAATTCTGGAATATAGCACTATTATTCTTTTTTATAGAGGTAATGTTCGACATTTTTAGAGATTTGTGAGAATAAGATTATTTACTAAAATGGGATAATAAATAGGTTTTAAAGATGTGAAAATAAGGAGGCCACAGAAATTTGTTAAACTTATAAAATTTGTCTTAAAAATCTAAATTCTAGAATTTCAGAACTGGAATGAACCTTTGAGATCATCTTATCAAATCCTCACAATTTGACAGACTAGAAAGTTGAGATCCAAATAGATTGTGACAGACATAATATAGAAGATTTAAAATTCGATATGTCTTAGCTTCTTATGAATATGTGTGCTTTTCCCTCCTCAGCATACTTTCTTCTGCATAGTATGATGTCATTTATTTATTTATCCATCAGGTACTTATTTCGCCCTGTTACATGTAAGGTTCCTTGTTAAAGTCCTTGGAAAATGTATAGGTTTTTCAAGACATGGTCCCTGGGCTATGAGACATCTTGGATGGAGAGTTAGGTGGATCCAGGCAGCTTTCAGTATTGGGCAGCAGAGGAGCCTAGTGGGTGGTACAGGCTGTACCTGCTCTGCAAGCTCTGCAAAGAGCAGACACGCCGTGATTGGAGAGGGCTTCCTGCCTGAGGATGTGGGATTTGAGTTGGGATTTGCAGGTCTGTAAGGATTTCATTATATTGGGGAAGATATTTCAGATGATGTAGGAGCTTGGGAAGGATTAATGATGTGAGCAGTGGAATGTAGTTGAGAAGGTATAAGTACGTTTGAGAAATAAATGGGTTGGAGTTTTGTAAGGGAGACAGCATAGTGTAGACCCTGGATCTAGACTGTTTGAGTGCCAATTCTAGTGCTTTCCTACTTACTTGCTCTGTGATCTTGAGCAAGTTACTAAACTTCTCCATTCCTCTGTTTTCTTATCTGTAAAATGGTAATAATAATAGTTACAGGATATTGTGAGGATAAAATGAGTTAAGGAGGCATTAGAACAGTATCTGACAATAGTTAGCACTATGTAAATGTTAAGTAAGTGAATTAGGGGAAAGATAGGTTGAGGCTGGATTGTGTTTCCCAGGAGTTCGATCTTTTTCTTTTTCCTATAGGCATTGGAGAGACCTCTTTGAGTAATTATGTTACTTAGGTAACATGGTTAAACCAGTAATCTAAGAAAAACATTCTGGTTGCAATGAATGGAAGTAGATGGGAGGCAAAGAGTATGTTCAGAAGCAAGTGGTGGTAGTTTAGGCTTAAAATTCAAAGGTCCTGAATTAGGACGATGATTATGAGAATGGGAATGGAAGGACATATGCTAGTAATATTTAGTGGAGGCAATTGGTAACCTTTTGGATGAAATATATATATATATGAAGAAGAAGGCAGGGGCAAAGATAATATCAAGGATTTGCCTCTGAGTAAATAGTGATGATAACATAAATGTGGAGCTCAGAAGGAGGAAGACAGGGGTTTGCTGTTGAAAGTCTGGCAGGAGCTGGGGGTGCTTCAGTAGAAGGAGATAATGAATCTTTTTGAGTTTGAGATTTTGGTAAATATTCATGTGAAAGTACACTATTGGAAATTGGAAATGCAGGGATGAAGCTAATGAGAGAGGTTAAGGATGGGGATATTAAGTTCATCATCAAAAGTGTTTATCTCTGGGGTGAAATTTTCTCTAATAGAATAATAGTAAGGTGCTTCCTTATAAGCTTGAAGTTCAGATTAAGTGATTCTTTTTCAAGGCAACGTTTTAAATTATACTCAGAAAATGAGATGACAAGGAAATGGACTGCTGTATTTTTCAGTGGCTTAAGAGTGTGTGTGTGTGTGTATGTACATATATGCACATATATGTATATACATGAGTGCGTGTGTGTATACACATCTACATATGCTTGAATCATTCTTACATTGAGACTTTATTCATCTGTTCATTTACCATCCAGGCCTGTCTTAGCACTTTTAAAACTGTACCATAATTTATTTATCTGTGTCCTCTAGAAGACTAAAAGTTTCTTGAGGATTTATGTGTGATTCTTGACTAATTTAACTTAGTATCCTCAGAGTGTGGCACCTAGTAAGAGTTCAGTAAATGTGCATTGGGTAAATATACATTTATTGAGCATTTACCATGTGTTAAGTGTTAGACTAAGTGCAGAGGGTACCAAGATGAGTAAATGAAAGTCCCCAAGAAGCTCATGGTAAGGACAGAGTGACTAGTGCAGTGATAGAGTAACGAACAAGCTGCTCTGGCAGCAGAGAGGAGGAGTAACTAAGTCTGCTGTGGAGAATAATATCAGGGACAGCCTCCCAGAGCACGTGGCTCTGACCTGAGACTTGAAACATAAATAGAAGGTCAACAGGCAGATGTGATGAGGAAAGGCTCTAAGGCAGAATGAATGTCATGTACAAACGTGAAAAATTTAAGAGGATATAGTATATATGGGGAATCATGTATAGTTCAGTGTGGCTGCAAGTGTAGTGTTTATATGGGACATAGTAACAAAAGACACTGCCGTTGTGGTAAGTGTGACCTAACTCTCACAAAGAGCCCTCTATGCCATACTAAATATGTCAGTGAGCCATTGAAAAGTTTTTATGGGAGGGTGATATGCAAATGTAGAGAGAGGATGTTTCTACAGCAATGTAGAGTATGGGTTGGAGATGGACATAGGTGGATATAGATAAGGAATCTGATCAGGAGGCTGTTGTAACAGTCTAGCCAGCCAGTGAGGACCTGAACAAAGACATTGACTATTTGGCTAGTGAAAAATGGATGGATTTGTGAGAGGTGTTTAGAAGGTATAAGTGACTGATTGTTTATAGGGATGAAGGAGAGGGACAAGTTGGATGACTCCCAGATTCCAGGTGTGAATTGAAGAGAGTATGCAGTGAGTTCTGACATTGCCTACCCAGAGTTGGGCCAGACTTCACAGGCTGAGAGCACAGTTTTCCACAAGAATGCCCTCCCTTCAGACCTGCTGCAAACTTGGGGGATTTGCAGGTCACCCTCACTTATAATCAGCTGGCTACAAATTCAGGTGTTCCTAATTACCCCCTACCCCCTGCCCTGCTCAGGGTGGATAATTCTCTAGAATGATGCACAGAACTCAGGAACGTGTTGTAGTTATGATTACAGGTTTATTATAGGCAAAAGGTACAAATCAGAACCAGCCAAAAGGAGAAATGCATAGGGCAAGGTCTGGAAGGATGCTGAATGTGATGCTTCTTCTGTCCTCTCTCCATGGAGTCAGGATGCTTTAACTCTCCAGACACACGGATGTGTGACAATACACATAATATTACCAATCAGGGAAACTAACTCAAGCTTCAGTGTCTAGAGATTTTATTGGGATTTCATTATGAAGGCGTGATCAATTGAGTCATTGCCCATGGGTCTCAATTTCCTGTCCCTTTTCTTTTCCCAGAGATTGAATTGATATCACATGGCTCAAGGTCCCAACTCTCTAATCACATGGTTAGTTTTTCTGGTGTTGTCCGCCCCCATCCTGAATCATCTTGTAAGCAAGGGGCCCACCGTGAATAACAATTTCTTGTCACTCTTGAAATTCCAGGGATTTAGGGGCTACCTTCCAGGAACTTGGGACAAAGGCCAGCTAAATTCTTCATTATACAGGCAGGGTGAACTGATACTGGAAATTGAGAGAGGAGCAGGTTTAAATAGAAACAAAATGTGTTTAGGTAAATACTCAGTAGGTAATTGAAAATAGAGGTCTGGAGCTTAGGATAGAATTTGAGTTTAAATTGAAATTGTGAGATATAAGTAGTGGTTGATGATATGGGTACAGATGAATTTGTTCAAGGAGTTTTATAAAGGAAAAGAGCTAAAGACTTAGAATTGCTTTGGGAATGTAAAGGATGGGGAAAGAGGAGATCTGAAAGACACTGAAAATAGCCAGAGAGTAGAAGTGTCAGGAACAGAGTGAGTCACAGAACCCATCTAAGGGAGAAGGGGTTTCAGGAAGAAGAGAAGCAACTTCATATATCAGCAATGTCAGAGGTTGGAGAGAAGGCAAGGAGGTACAATTGAAGAGTGATCATTGCGTCAGTAAATTAGGTATTTTTAGTGAAGTGTTGGAGGCAGAAGTCAGCATGTAGCTTATGAAGAAGAAATAGTAAGCATAAACCATTTCTTTACGAAGGTTGGCTGTGAAGGGAAGAAAAGGTGGATAGTAGCTAGAACATTTGAAGGGTTAAGTGAAGGATTTTTTTTTAATAGGATAGATTTAAGTATGCTTATACTCATACCGAGTTCGTGCCAGGAGACAAGGAGATACAGGAAAGAGAGGAGATAATTGATGGAGTGATGTCATAAGGAGTGAATTTGTAAATACTGTACTGTATCTATGAGCCGTATCATAGATGCTAATGTTGGAAATAAACTCCTGTTGGAAATGGCCACATAATAGATATTACAGAAACTGAGGGCATTGAAAGGGGATACTAGAAAGAGAAATAGGAACTTGCCTGTAGCTATACCTATAGCAGTGCTTATAGCACTAGTTAGTTGTTTTCACAGTTTTCAGTCTCAACCTCATGCAGTTAAAGGCTCCCTACAAAGCAAAAAAAAAAAGAAAGAAAGAAAGAAAGAAAATTTTTTAATAAAATTAATGTGTTAAATCCTAGTTATCCCTAGTTCTGTGTATCAAAATTCTATAGCTAGAAAAGGATTTGGAGATTTTCTAAATTGGAGTTTATAAGACTTTGACATACACATAGTTTTCAAAGTTTAAACCCCCAGAAGTTCTCAAACTTAGTTGGGTCAGAATTCCTCTTAACGAATCACCAACTATTATGCAAAAAAAAGTAATGTTAGCTTTGTATCTGAACTCCCATTAAAAGTGTAAGAAGAAAATAACAGTTATTTTAAAATCCATTAGTGTTGAAGACTAGAGGATTGGTCTCCTTGAATAATTTTTATCCATCACTGATTTGTTTTATAGAGTACTTTTATGTTTATTTGTTTTCAAAGGTAAAAAGTAACTGAAATTTAGTTTTCAATCTATATTTAGTGTCTCTCTCATCACTTGCACTATTTTATGTAAACGGTCTAGCACATTAAACTGATAAATTTTAGCTAATTTGATTAAGCTTGAGTTACCACTGGATTTTACCGTTACCTTATTAACTCAGAAATGGATCTTTATTTTTGACTAAAAGCTGTATACTATAAGTGCATTGTGGCAGATAGGTTTTGTCCCTTACAGAGGGCAAGGAGTGTATAATTCTACTACTTCATGTGGTAGGAAATGTCTTCTTATTTTCATTGTTTAAACTGAGCAATCACTCTTAAGTGGTGCTTAAGACTGTACATATATATCTTGTGCCAGGTTCAATAAAATTGGGTATATCCTTTCTAAATGTATGAGAAGATTCTTTATTGTCTAGGCCCTTTGTTAGCTTATCTCTAACTACCTCCGATTTGAGACATTTTGTGAAATCACTCTTCATTTTTTCTATCTATAAAATGATTCTCTTGTGAAATGCACCATGATTTTACTCTGACAATTGAGTTTATCTGTTGATGGGAAAATCTTCATGTATGTTAATAGTTAATGGTAATTTACAGAAAAGCTCTTTAATCTGATGAGCCATTTAATTCATTTTTTGCAATCTCAGGGTGTGCTGATGGTGGGACCTCCAGGCACTGGTAAGACTATGCTAGCTAAAGCTGTTGCCACCGAATGTGGCACAACGTTCTTCAACGTTTCCTCTTCTACGCTGACATCTAAATATAGAGGTGAATCTGAGAAATTAGTTCGTCTGTTGTTTGAAATGGTGAGTGATGATATGTTCAGAGTACTGTTAGTGCAGATGCGTGATGCCAGTATGGTCTGGGTGTGTTCACTTAGGAGTCTTTTTTAGAAAGGGAAGTTTAGTTGTATTTTAATAATACTAACAAGAGACATGGAGTGGTGGGTTTTGTAGGGTAGTTGGTGTGTCTTCAGCATATCTTTCTCTTGGGATAAATGAAGCTCCTTTGACATCCTGTTCAGCGAGGGTAGAAGAAGAGACTTTGGCCCTGTGTGTGTGGGTTGACTGGTATTTCTGGATCTCTAGTGAGCTGGTAGAGCAGAATATTTTAATACATGTTTTAAAAATCAGAACTGATCTGTCATTGTTTGTTTCTTTTTCCAAAGGGATTTGCAGTAATTGCTTCAGAATGCATGTTTGAGGATAGAGGTTGATTTACCTCTTAAAAAATTCTTTATTATGGAAATTTCTAAGCACAAAAGTAGAAAGAATAGTACAGCGAATCCCCATGTATCTGTCACCCAACTTCACCAACCGTATAACTTTTATTTTTAGAAATTTACTTTTTTTGATATGAACAACTGATTTAGACTGTCAGTAACCAGATAGTGACATTAAAGCAGTGAGAAATTACCACTCTTTTTTGCCATTGTTTTAAAAGGAGAAAATGGTATTTTAAAAATATTCAGATTATTTTATGAGATCAATGAATAATTTCTTTAAATTTCACAAAGGCTAGATTTTATGCCCCTACCACGATCTTCATTGACGAGATAGACTCTATCTGCAGTCGAAGAGGAACCTCTGATGAACATGAAGCAAGTCGCAGAGTCAAGTCTGAACTGCTTATTCAGATGGACGGTAATTGATATTTAATGACTGTCTCAAAACTATGTTCTTTCCTTTTTGAATTGTATGCAGACTCATACTTTGGAAATTCTCAATGAGTGGACTAGAAGGCAGCCTGAATTGATTTTTAATCATTTGTTCATACACCCATTTGTTCATTTGTTCATGCACTCAAAAAGCATTTATTGCACACTTGTTATAAGTCGTGCACCATTTCACGTTCTGAAGTTACAAAGAAAAGGATTGTCATTGCCTTCAGGGAGTTTCCTATTTAGAGCATAGGTTCTAGAGTTGTGATTCAGAGTCCCAGGGGTCCTTGAGACTCTTAAAGTGTCTATAAGGTCTAAACTGTTTTCATGGTAATATCAAGATATTATTTGCCTTTTTCAACTCTCATTCTCTCCCAAGTGAAAAGTGGAGTTTCCCAGACTCTACAAGACGCGTGATATAAAAGATGGAAAGCAGAAGCGTATATGAGAATTCAGCTAGTCTTTATTTAGTCAGACATTAAAAAGAGTTACAAAAATATTTTTTAAAATGCAAGTCTTCTTACTAATTTCTTTTGGTTTTGAAAAACATACTTATTTTTTATAAAAACATGTTAGCAAGTAATGGATTTATTATTATTTTTAAATGAATTAATATTTTTAAAGTTTCTTTTTTAATTTCTCATGGTGAATATTGATAGATATACTTCACAGACACAAGCTTTTTGGAGCTCTCGATAATTTTTAAGCATATGAATAGGTCCTGACCAAAGTGTTTGAGAACCACTGATCTAGATGGGAAGCAGGCAACTGATGAGATAATTACAGTACATTATGGTAAGTTCTGTGGTAAAATTTAGTAAAATCTTTATTAGAAAATACCATATTAACTGGGTTGCTGTAAGTTCACCACTTTGTTATGCCAAGCTAGAGAGTCTTATCAATAAAGTTTGTGGGTTTTTAATTTTTATTATTTTACTACATATTTTCCAGAGTTTCTTTTGTGTGACCTGAAATTTTTTATTCTAAAATTTAAATTCTGAAAAATTAGACTCTATGTACATACAAATAGTTGGTTTGGTTATGAAAGGAAACAGTATTTTCATCAGTGATTATTAGATTCATTTTTAAATTTCTTTTTTATTTTTTACAAGTCACTTAAACATTCAGAGGATGAAATTACTGCAGTATAACCCAGCTTTGAAAATTATGATTATTTCCTGGTATGTTAAGTAAATGTGAATTCTCTTCTGTTCTTACCTCTTGAGAAAATCAAATAAGTTAGACTAAAAACTAAAATAAAAATCTAGCTGGTACAGGGATTAAACCCTGGACTTTGGTGTTATCAGCAACACACTGTAACCAACTGAGCTAACTAGCCAGCTGTAAATAAATTTTTTTTGGAGGAACTTCATGATTTAAAAAAATAAGAAAGGAATAAAACAGAGGCTAATCTCCCATGCCTTTTCTTTTCCGAGGAAATATATATTCANAAAGGAATAAAACAGAGGCTAATCTCCCATGCCTTTTCTTTTCCGAGGAAATATATATTCATTTTCTTACAGAAAAATTGGTTTTTCTTATTGGATTAGACTCCTCCACTAGATTATGTGAATTCTGGCACTTCCTTGGTTTGTAGTTATCTGTTGATGTGTCTGGTTTTGCCACCACACAGAGAGGTCAGGACTGCCCTGCTTTCATCATTGATCCTACCACCCGGTGCTGTGGCTAACGTTTAGAGATGTTAGTTGGATGACAAAATAAAGGACTGTAAGAAAAACGTTATGTCTTTTTCTTCCCTTATTGTTTGTAGGAGTTGGAGGAGCTTTAGAAAATGATGATCCTTCCAAAATGGTTATGGTGTTGGCTGCTACTAATTTCCCATGGGACATCGATGAAGCTTTACGAAGGAGATTAGAAAAAAGGATATATATACCTCTCCCAACAGGTATGATGCCTTCCTTCTACTGTATTTTGAGCTTTCAGTTAATTCCTGTTACCTTTTTCTATTTACCTAAATCTTTATTCCATTGTCATTCTGCTTAAAGAAGTTTTTAGCATCACAAAACCAATTTGTAATAGATGGAAACAGAGACCACAGTATTCTATTAAAGTTCCTTACATTTCAGAGAAATTTTTATATTCAGAGCAATATTTATGTTCATAAATTTGGTGGCACTTTTAAGTTTTTACTTTTAAACTTGAAGAGTCTT